TATTTAGTTGTCCAGCTAGTTTCTATTTTTTTAGTAGAGACGGGGGTCTCACTCTTGCTCAGGCTGGTCTTGAACTCCTGACCTTGAGCGATCCGCCTGCCTCGGCCTCCCACAGTGCTAAGGATTACAGGCGTGAGCCACCATGCCCAGCCTAGCTAATTCTTATACAGGAGCATATGATCACATTTATTTTCAGATGTCAGGCCTTGCTGGGAGAGAGATAGGATAGGTATGGTAAATAAGATGACGACTCCATTAATGTCACCGTTGTTCCCTCTTAATAACCCATTTCTAAGGATTCTTTGCATTAGGAAACATACCCAGGTAAAATCATACTTTGAATTTAATTTACAGCAACTATAGGTGCCTTCACATCTTTAACCGCCTTTGAGGACCAGGGAGCTTTTTTTTGTTTGTTTTATTTTTAAAGTGCTTATCATTTCTCATACTGTTTTAAAAATAGGTCAGTACCTTTCACAACCTGAGAGAGACTCAGAAATGTAGGATCTGTTTTGAGATGTCCCACCTTTTAAGTAATCTCAGACACTGGAACCTCAGATGGTGAGGTTTTGACAGTGGGACCTGGACAAAGTGTGCTAATTTTGGCTACATAGGATATGTATATTTTTGGACTAGATAGTTGTGAACACCAGGGTTTTTAAAAATAAAAGTTATTGTTATTATTATAAACTACTTAGTAAGTAGCACACATTGACACAATTTAAACCATTCAAAAGAACACAAAGGAAAAAGTGAAACCTATATCTATTCCATGAGGTAGCCACTATTAATAATTTACTGGTTATTTTCCCAGATACTTCTTTATACTCACGTAAATTTATACATGAACACATATTTACACATCCCTATACATAAATAGTAAACAACATGGGATCACCCTTGACATATCTCTCTGTAGTTTGCTGTATCATTTAACACTATATAATAAACCTCTTTAAACATCAGGACTATTATATAATATATCTACCTCCTTCTTCTTAACTGCTGTGTAGTGTTCCACTGCACAGACTTATCATGAGCTATTGAACTCTTCCTCAGTTTGGGGGCATTTAGGTTTTCATTGGTCTTTGGCTATTGCAAACAGTGTTGTACCCTTGGAATGGATGTTGATGCCTGGTTGTATGGGTTGCTGACCAAGAGGACCAGATACTGGACACATAAGTACCCTTATGGGAAAATGAGAGTTTGGCTGTTCTCAGTATGACATGCAGCAATAAGACAAGATCTCAAGCCAGGCACCCAAATTACATTCATTACAGGCTTTGATATCCTGGATGAAAAGCCAGCATGCCAGCAAAGAACTTGTTATGTTAGAGCTGAAGACTTGCCCTAGAAGGGCATGTACCCAGAGGGACGGGATAATTTGCAGGAACCTCACCAGAACCAGTTTACAGAGCTCACTCCTGATGTCTTATCACGGAAACATCAGGAGTTTAAGCATAGAGCCTGGTGCATTCTCTCTCTCTCACTGTCTTTCTCTCTCTCTCTCAACCTAAAGTTGCTAATGTAGTCACTTTCATTGCTCCTAGTAACATGTTCATAGAGCCATAGAGTTTTTTTTTGTTTGTTTGTTTTTGAGACAGAGTCTCACTCTGTTGCCTAGGCTAGAGTGTCCAGGCATCAGCCTAGCTCACAGCAACCTCAAACTCCTGGGCTCAAGCGATCCTTCTGCCTCAGCCTTCCGAGTAGCTGGGACTACAGGCATGCACCACCATGCCTGGATAATTTTTTCTCTATATTTTTAGTTGTTTGGCTAATTTCTTTCTGTTTTTAGTAGAGACAGGGTCTTGCTCTTGCTCAGGCTGGTCTTGAACTCCTGACCTCAAGCAATCCTGCCGCCTTGGCCTCCCAGAGTGCTGGGATTATAGGCGTGAGCCACCGCGCCCTGCCCAGCCAGGCGCTGGAGCTGATGAATTCATGGTTCAAATGTCAATGTCAAGCATTGCCCCACTTCTTTGCTTTCATTTCTTTGGGAGAAAGTGGTCTTCCTATGGCTTAAGCTTTTTTGTTTTGTGGAGTTGATGTGGAGTTGACTTTCCTTTGTATACATTTCCAAATCACTGTCTGAAGAATTCACTGATTTCATTCAATTTAACAAAATGTTATTGAACACCCACCATGCTCAAAGTTCTAGAAGAGGCTGAGATATGAGCATGACACAGCTTACTCTGTAGGAAAAAACAAGGGAAGTGTAGAATTAGTTATAATAGGCAATAGAGGTTCTGAAAGATGCTTTCATTGAGGTGCCCAAAATATGATTTAGGTGCAAAGGATTGTGGAGCATCAAGATGGGCACTTGCGGTGGGCAGTGGAGGGTGGTCAGTTGTAAGGCCTGATGGCGGCGAGCAGACCAGGCTGGGTGGTCATGTGAGGACATGTCCTGTGTTTGCCCAAAGCATGGAGTCCATGTGGTGGGGCAGTTGTGGATGTGAAATTGTGGGTGCCTTGGGGAAGTATCAATGGCGTATCAAAGGGTGAACACTATACTTTTGGAGGGTTAGCAAAAGGGGAGAGCAAAGGTTTTTGAGTAGGCAGTCACATGACTGGAGACAAATCTGGGGAAGATGTGGCTGGAAGTCTCTAGTTGGAAGAGGGAGAGACAGGAAATGGGGAAGCCAGTGGAAAAGGGGACTGAGGTAAGCAGTCTGCAGAGCTGCAGCATTGGAGGAGAGGAGGGGAGAATTGGGGGGAAGTCTGAGTGTGGGTTGGAGGAGAAGTGCAGGGACAGGGGTTCTCGAGCGCTGGTCCTAGCACTTGAGAGCAGGGCTGTGTCTTCAGAAAACAAAACAACGGAGTTTGAGACCAGCCTGAGCAACACAGTGAGACCCCATCTTTCCAAAAAATACATGGTGGCGCATGCCTATAGTCACAGCTACTCGGGAGGCAAGGCAGGAGGATCGCTTAAGCCCAGGAGTTTGAGGTTGCCATGAGCTATGACAACGTACTGCACTCTAGCCCAGGCAACAGTGAGAGCCTGTCTTAAAACAAACAAACAAACAAACAAACAACAAAAACCCCACAAAAACAAAACCAGAATTCTCATAAAGGAGCCAGTTTTTAAAGGCTGGGGAAGGGTGGTGAGAAGATGATTCCAACATTTTGGAAACTTTGAACTTGAGGTGTTAGAGGGCTAGCCAGTTGAAGATGTTGTCCAGCCTGCAGTTGAACGTGCCAGTCTGACATTCAGACATGAAGCTCTGACTGGAGATTGGCCCCTGGATTTTGGCTTACTCTCCTTGAGGCAGAAGAAAAGGGGAGAAGACAATCTGGACAGGATTTAGCAGGACAGGAACGTGCAGGGCTCAAGGCACATTTTGGAGAGACATGGAGCTGGGCTTAAATTCCTAACTCTGTCATTTAATTTCTGTGAGGATTTGGGCAGTTGATGTAATGTTGCTGAGCCTCAGTTTCCCTGCTTGTAAGATGGAGAATGCTATTTTTTCAACCTCAGAGAGTCGTATGAGGATGGACTGAGTCCTCGCTAACCGGGTACTGATCTTATCATTGTTTCCCATGGACTTTTTTTTTTTTTGTAAACTAACATCTCTCTATTTTGCTCTTTATTCCTAAACAGGA